CTCACCTCTTGCCATACTTTTTGTCTCTTTTGTAATAAATCTAGCTTTTATATTAATGTGTCTACCCTTTATTTATTTCATCCACCTTTCAGATGTTTCTATCTACCTTTCAAGTAAATCTTTCTAGATTTATATTGTATGTCCACTTTTCATATGAATCTATATGTCTTTCATATGTTTATAATCTTTCATATAAACCTCCTAACTATATGCAATATGTCCACTACTCATTGAATCTGTCTTTCACATATGTTCTAGGCTAAATTGCGTAAAAATGCCACGAAGTTTTCATCATGTAGCACAGAAATACCACAAGTTGTATTTTGTAACAAAAAGATACCACAAAGTTTCCTTTATTGAAAACCCCTTAACAGTGTAAAAAAATTATGCTAAGACCAAAATACCCTTGGCATAATTAATCTCAAAAACTGTAAATAAACCCCAATCCCTTTCCTATTTTTTACGTTACTTTTTAGAAAAAATCTTAACTGCGCCCTAATTTGAGAACTTAAAGAGGCCTAATTTCAACCTAAGATTTGGATATTAGAAAAAAATGAGATGGAATTTGGGAATGAGAGCAAGAAATTTAGGACGAGAGCAAGGAATTGGGGATGAGAGGAAGAAATTAGGAAACAACAAGAATGAACTTGGGAAATTAGCGTTCTACAGCGAATTGGAGGAGAAGAGAGGAATTGGGATTTAGGGTAAAAATAGAAGAAAAAATTAAATTAGAGAGGGCTAGGTAGAATAGTAAATATTGCAATGTGCATGGTCAAATGCTATACAAAAATCCCATGTGACACTCACATGGAAATATCCTTTGGAATATTCTCTATTTTGTTAACAAAAGGTAGTAACATGCTACTTTTTAAAACTTTATGGTATTTTTTTGCTACGAAATACAAGTTGTGGTATTTATCTGCTACATAATGGAAACTTTGTGGTATTTTTATGCAATTTAGTCTATTCTCTATCTACCTTTAATATATGGGAAAAAGTAGAAAAAGGGGGGCAATTGTGATATACAAGCCCAAAGTTACATAGGTACGGGTACAGGTGCAGGTATAGATACGATACACAACAAAATTGTAAAAGATAGGATATGGGGGCATAACTGTGATATATATATATATATTGGAATTATATCTATTGAAATTAATAATTTACTTTAAGCACTTAAACTTCAATTAACAATTAGAAACCAAAAGATTGTCTAAAAAAGCATATGCAAACATTGATAATCATTTGCATTTAATAAAAAATTTAAAAACTTACAATACTTAATGGGTTATTAGGTTCAAAAATTGAATCCGATTCTCAAATTACCTCATCCTCTGTCTTCAATCACATGGCTGAAGTTTGTAAACTTTTACTTTAGTCACATGGATTGGAATTTTAAGCCACATGCCCAATCCAAACTACCCAACTTGTTGTTGCCAAATTTTACTTTAGACATCATATGGGCCAAAATTTCCAGCCACGTGTCGAACTCAAGTTACTCTACTTTTTCTCTAAGCTTTTACCTTAGACAAGGTCACATGGCTAAAATTTTAAGCCAAAATGCCCAATTGTTTGCTCCAAACAGCAGCTACGTGGGCTTAAAAATTCTAGCCAATCGTGTGGGTGCAGATCTGCACCTAATGCATACCTGACACCAGTACATGATCCATTTTTTATGTCAAGATAATCTAGCACCAGCCCCTTGGCTAGAGTGAGACTAATGTAGCATTCATCTAGCTGTCCACTTAAAAGCTACTTTTATAGTTTTGTAAAAACCCAATTAACGATACCAATTCTTAATAAAACAAATTCCAAGAATTTTATACCAATTCTTAATAAAACAAATTCCAAGAATTTCTATTTTTATTCATGTAGAACGCCTCTAATCCCAAAAAGACAACACAGCACCGCTGGCTCATCTTCTTCTTCCTTCAAGCTATTAACCGAAGCAGAAAAGCTAAAAACTCATTAGCTTTCTTTTTTATGGCAATCACCCTCAAAAATTCATCACCTTCATCAAGATCTTAACAAAAATACTAGAAGCACGCTTCCAGCGTTTGCGAAATTGAGAATAATCTCAACCCTACTCATTGGGGTTCTAAAGAGGATGATGTTTTCTTCTTGAAATACATGTACAACAAAGCCTTTATCCCAAATATTTGGGTCGGCTATATGAACCTATTTTTCCATGGCATTCTATTGGAGTCATCTCCTCCATTAAGTTAACCATTATCATATCATTTTTAAATACTTCTAACCAAATTCTCTTAGATCTACCTCTAAATCGCTTTGCCCCATTAACTATAAATTAATATTATCACTTTTCTTAACCAGTGCACTAAGAAGTCTTCATTGTACATGACCAAACCACCTTAGTCGATTCTCTCATTTTATCATCAATATGAGCAAGCACTAATTTACTGCAGATACACTCATTTCTTATCCTATTTTCTAGTGTATACCTACAAGACAACGTAACATTCTCATTTCTTCTACAGTTATTTTTTTTGTGCATGTTGTTTTTTAAACACCCAACATTCTATGTGTGTGTCCCTCCCTATGCCCCCATTTCCTCTTATAGATGCAGCTGTGAGATTTTGAAAATTCAAATCATATGCTGATATTTTATGGTACATTTTGCCTGCACTTGCAAGCAGGACCCTGACTTAAGGTTGACGACTCCCCACTAATTAAAAAGGTATGAACCCTATTTATATTCATGGTCTAACTTGATTAAGAAATTTCTCCGATAATTGTTTGATCAATAGCTTCAAAGAGATTCCGTAGCTAAGTTGTGCTTGCATCTTGAAATAGGCTTGGTTTTGTAATACATCATGTGCCGTTAGATTTGCTTAAAGTTTTATGCCAAAATTATTTACCAATATTTTACGTTGTTCACTAACATTGATATCCTCTTTAAATGTTTCGTTTGAACCAATAAACGGATTAATTGTAAATAACAAACACTTTAAGCTCATAACATTAATTAGCAATTTAACTGTCAAATTATGTTTAGTTCTTACCAATTAAAACTTTCTCCTATATCCCTTCGTTCTTGGATCCAGATCATGTCCTTCACTCTGTATGTTTATAATAGATAGTGTTCCTTATCCTTACAAAAGTTCCTTTCAATAATGCCATAAGGCAACCACAAAGTAGATAATATATATCAGCAGATAAGGAAACCTTCAAACATTCTAATGTATTAAATGCAGCTAAAAGTATGGATGAATTGTATTGATTCTATTAAACCACTGCCGAGATGATATAAGATGTACAAAACTACACTAACCGCAAGAAAAGAGATATCAACACTTATTGTTATAGATAAGTTACAGATATAAACACTAATTGTTACCAGGCGAACTTTTTCAGGTTTTGAACCATTGGATTTCCCTTTCAAACTTGAATTACCAACTGGTTTTGGAACATTTGCAGGGAAGAGACTTTCAAGCTCTGATACATCATAATATGAAGCACTGCAGCAAATTGTAACCAGAAAAAATAATTAGGAAATCAAGCCTTGAAAAATGATATGCAAACATTATTGGTAGATCCTGAAAAATAAAGTGTCACAATTGTATAAATATGAACCATACACCGGATTAAAGTAAATGCATTCAAAAACATCATATCCAAAATGAAGAAGAAAAGTTATAAGAGTGCAAACGGTTCAGATACGGCTCGGATATGATACTTATTATATCCGTATCCGCTTACAAATTATGAATATGGATATGGATATGCCTTGGTAAGGAAAACTCATATACATATCTGCTAAAATCATATACATGCAGATATATAAGCAAATATACATGCGGATACAAAACGGATATGAGAAACCATATAATATTGAAAAATATAGTTTGTATGATACAAGAGAGTTCATTAATATGTTCTTTATATCCGAAAAGCTAAAATTAGATCTCTTGATCATCAAAATTAGCCTTAAATCAATTAATCTAAGGATTAAAACTACCGCAATTGAATGACCAACAGATGTTCGGATATTTCGGACATGGATCCGGATATTTGACAACATATTCATATCTATAACCTAGGTTACCTGGACACTTCATTTTGGGTGTCATATCCATGTTAAACACGTGTCGAACACGGATTCACCGCTGACACGCCATAGATACTTGTGGTTCGAAGCAAAACCCTATTTGCCCATTACTTATAACTCTTAACTAGTTACTTTGGTATATCAAGCTCAAAACCAATAGGTTTTCAAACCTGAAAACTGAAACCCGTTACTTAAAGATTTGAAAAATACCCATTGTAGCTCATGCGATCCAAACTAAACTTTTTGTTGTTAAAACTTAATTCTTAGTTTATTTAACTTGATTCTTACTTGTTACAGATAGTAAAAAAAACATACAAATGTTGTAAGTATTTTAATTCAATATTTGATTTAATATGTGCTTGTATTTGTGTCCACCATATCCTGTCTTTTACAAATTTGTCATGTCCCATGTCCGTGCCCACACCCGCATCCGTGCAACATAGTCTGTAACCATATTCTATCAGTTATAGAGTTTAGCAACCATATCTGTGCCCTGACGCTAATGGACATGAATATGGATCTTTCCTTAGATACAGATATTTTTCAGCACCCCTAGTTATAAGTTGATAAAGTCAATCATGATGAGCATATAAGCAGCCAATGCAGTGTCAAAAGTAAGATGTAGATACCTGGGAGGATCATTAAAATTTTGGAGTTCTGCCCATAAGCTTCCCTGTGCAGGTCTTGCTACTTTCACCCAGTGTAACAGTTTCACTGAGAGCTTACGAGGTGGTGCAGAGAAAGTAGGGCCTGTCGGATGTGCAAGACCACGGCCTCCACCCCCAGCCAAGGGAGGAGGCAGAGGAGGCCCTCCAGCCTTAGGTAGTGCAGGTGGAGTAGGTGCACGTGGACCAAGGTGAGGTGGTGGGATGGGAGGTCCAGCACGATCTCTCAGGGATGGAGGTGGTGGTGGAGGGGGAGTCACGCATTGGCCTCCTACTGGTATTGGCGGTGGCGGTGGTGATGACAATGTTGGAGACCCACTTTGGCCTCCTGGAGATGGAGATGATGGGGGTGGAGATGGGGTTAGAACACTTTCATGTGCTCCTGATGAAGGATGAGGAGGAGGTGGTGATGGTGATTGAACTATTGAAGTTACTTCAGGGGGTGGAGAAGGAGCAGGAGGTTGTGTAGAGGGTGATGGAAGAGGATTTGATCCACTAGTGTCTAACCCAGAAGAAACTGGTGGTGGAGACGGCGATGAAGGGCCTTGATAAAAATTTCCTTGATGTTGTAATGGAGGAATAGGGGTAGGGTCAAGGTTGCTTTCGGTGGATTTTTCTTGGTTCATGGGAGATGGAGGTTGAGCAGGATCCACCACCGGTGACGAAGGACGTAGGCAGGCAGATCCGACAGGTGAATAGATGTCTGCATCGCTCTGTGAATCTGCATTACTAAAGACTTCTGCTGCCTCAAAAAACTCTTCTGTTACAGAAGAATCTTCAGCCTTGCATTCATCTCCAATTACCACGTCCATGGTGGTATCATAATCAATAGCATTTTTGTCTGAAAAGACTACCTGATACATACATGAATTTGCTTTAAATTACAATAACCTGAGGAACTTAAACAGCAGTGAAAAAAACAGTTGCCTACCTCCACTTTGAAGTCCTTTGGTAACTGATCCTTAGCACTCCATACAACATCAATGTCATCAAGGTTCAGCACCAGAACATTGGATTGCACAAATGCAGTATTGAACATGACCCTGAACATTATATCCTCTCGTTCAAGAGTATCGTCCATATGGATACATTCAATGACAACATCCCCTTGAATTTGGCAATGGGTGTTTACCTTAACAGTTGCACTCTCTTCCTATGACCAATGCAGTGTTATTACGTTTGAACTCATGAAAATATCAAACTCTAAGTTAAAGAGCTTAAACTACCTGTCTATAGCACCTGATGTGCTTCTTAGTCTTTGGCGTGGAGAAAAGAATCTTTGAGGTTCTGTCAGCAGTAGTCACCGGGTCTTGACCATATACACGAACGACAGGCCAGCATCCCCCTTCCCCATCAAAAGGGGGAACAATTCTAAGAATCAAGCAGTCCAGCCTGAACTGCTTACCTCCTGGAAGCCAGTCCAATGCACTATCATGTCTAGTTATATACTGAAGATATCTCAAATGGGAAGGCTGTGGATTCAATGGAGACGCGACATGCAGCAGCTCGTTAGGAGCTTGCTTATATATCATCTCCAGAGTGTTCTGCTCCCCACTTAACTGTTTCCTATAGAGAAGAAGACCCGCAAGCATAAAAGCAAGAATTGGCCATCCTCCTCTTTCGCAATGCATTAGCAGCACATTGTGTTGCCCTTGCAAAGAAAGCCAGCTCTCACTCGACCTCAAGCAATGGTAAATCATCTCCATCGGAAGCAGAGGCCATGCTTCGTGCTGCCAAGGATAGTCCATGACTGTAATATTGTATTTGGCAAAAATGAACGAGATTTTGCTCTGATGATCTCCCTCCAAAAAGTTAAACACCATGAATGAGGCATCAGGTAGATGATTCTGCAGTTGGATGACAATGCCATCCATGTAATCCTCATACTCATCTTCTTTCAGTGTATATTTCGAGAAACAACAATCGAACACTACAAAGGAAAGAAAAAATGGGAAAATAATTACAATTTGATCGTCAGATTCTGACTAAGTCTGTGCAGTGTTGATTGCTCTCAGGAGAAACATGCACAGCTCACAATGTCTTTCTGTTGAATTTGGGCTAACTTGTAATGTCAATAAGAGAGGAACTTTTGCATAAATTCATTACTAAGACTTTATAGCAGGCCAAATCCACCTGATCCTTTATTTTATAGACGAATGTACACTGTTCATCTTCTTCGCTTTTGATCATGAACCAAATCCACCAAATTTTATTCTTTATTTTATCAAATTTCCCTAATTCTTTCACTTTTAAGGTTTCATTGCGAAGTTTTGAACTTTTAACTTCCAAAATACATCAAGAACACGCAAATTCACATGTCACCAAAACCCTCATCCTAAAACACCCCAAAACCGACTAAATCAACACATACACACTCATCATGCACAATTCAACTTATCAACCCCAAACGTTCACCATTTTCAATGATTTAAGCGCAAAAGCTAGAAATTCAAAAGACAATTGGAATCGTTACCGTAAACTCTCTCTGTGATCTCCAGCAACCGATCAGGGGGTTTCCGGTTGAAGAACCGCCGTAAAAGCGCCATTCTTCTCAACCGAGAAGGGATCAGATATCGCTAGGGTTTCGAGAGTCGAAAAGAGAGACGAGACGAAACGAAGGGGAGATGAAATTTGTGTTTAGTTTTTTGCGTTATTTATTTATTTATTTAGTTATTTTTCATCTTTTGTTTCTGTATTTCCCGGGGTTTTAATTGCTTGCTATAATAGTTTGCTTCGTGCTGGGGTTGTGGATGTGGGCTGGCCGATGACCGGCGTCTGCAGGTGACGTACTGACACGTGTCGGGCTCAAAGAGGAGGAGAGGACTCGGGGAAGTGGAGAAAGCTGACTCGGCACGAGTAGGCCCTGGGCCTTAACTTTCACGCTCGTCAAAACTCTCGCGCTACTGGGCTTGTGTTGAGTTTTTTTTAAGGACAAATTTTCAATTTCAACTCATTTATAAAGTTATTTGTAAAAAAACAATCCATATCAACTTTAATTGTCAAAATCGACCCAGTTTTAACCAACTGGCTAAAACTATGTCGATTTTAGGGAAAAACTTCACGAAACTTCACAAGTTTAAGCGCGTGATTAAACAACACGGGACTTAAAGTCCTGTGATGTTTAGTAACGTGCAAACATCACGAGACTTCAAACATCACGGGACTTGAAGTCCCGTGATGTTTAGTATCGTGCAAAACATCACGGGACTTAAAGTCCTGTGATGTTTTAGTTGGCATTTCCAATGAGCTACGCTTTCTGGAAAGTCTGCCTACAATTCCACGGGACTTCAAGTCCCATGGAGTTTGCGCTAGGGCTATATAAGGGCCTCAACGCCGCACGCGATTACATATTGCTTTGAAGCCTCTCTCCAAGCAAACCCTAGCCCTATCCCCTTACTACTGCTGCCCCCACCCCCCGTCGCTATCGTCGTCGCTCCTACTGTCGCTGCCTTAGCACCCGGTCACCGCCAGTGATCGATCCTGCCGCCGTCACCACCGGAGTTGGCCGGAAATTAGGGCATCAACAAATTTTAGGTAAAATTTTGAAGAAAAAAATTATCTCATGATTTTTTTATATATTCTCACTATTTCATTGCTAATAACTTGTTTAAATTTAGATTTTGAAATAAATTTCGCAATATTTATGAATTTTGTGAAGAAAAAGTAAAGAAATTTGTGTATGAAGTTAGAGGGGAAATTATCGAAAATTGTAAAAGTTAGTGTACTATAAAAGTTTGACATTTGCTTAAAATTATGGAAAACCACTCGTGCGATATTAGACGATTTAATGGTAAATAATATTTTTTATATTTTTCGTGTAATATTGATATTAGATTTTTTTTACTCTTCAGAGGTAACGATGAACGATCGAATCGTAATTCTTTATTCATATGATGGAAAAAGTAACTATCTCAAGAATAATATGCCCGTATATGAAGGAGGTGTGACGAAGCCATTGTTTATCACAAAATCATGTACTTTCGATAAATTGGTTAATGACTTACACAAACTTACATTAACCAATTCACGTGAATATCACATCAATGTTATTTACAATTATCATGTTATGGGGAACAGAACAAGCGGCATTCAAATCTCGAGTGACTACGACATGAATCTTATTGTAATATTGCATGACGAGAAGCGTTCGGTGGAATTATTTATTAAAAAGCATCACAAAAATTTTGGCAAATCGGTGAATCCCACGGAGTATACTCTCGCATGTTAGAGGACCTTGAAGTTGACTCCGTCGACTTTTTATCTCCGTAACAAGATGTAGGATGGACACAGTCACAATACTTGAGCAATCCTTCGCTTGTGGACACTTCAAATGCATTCGATGCTAGCACTCCCCATGAAGATCCAATGCCTTCCATAGGAGTGGCGATAAAAGATGATAATGCAAGTGTCGAATCCGAGGATGATGATGAAGAGGATGGCTTACAAATCAATAGCATGACATGTTTGATAGATCATGATGAAGGAGACAACCAATATATTGACGGATGTTATACTAACAATGAGTATGTTGTGTTAAAGGATCCGCCGCCCGATGAACTTCATGGAGAAGAATGGATTGATAACTCCACGATGGAAAGTATCGGCACTAATATCGTTGATGATACATAAGGCGAGGACTTCTCATTCAAAAAGGGCGATCTATTTGAAAGCAAGGAGAAATTGATTCATACACTTCGTTTGTGGGCCATCCAAAAAAATGTCAAGTTTAGGCAAATAAAAAGCAATGCAACTAGCTATAATGTAGTTTGTTTTTATCGCAAAGATGATGAAGAAGAAGATAGTGTTGGGCACCATGACGACAATGAAAATATCCTTAGAAGCTTAATTCACGCTTAGGTAATAGTGGGCGGGCAATTTAAAATCACACACTACAACGGACTTCACACATGTAGCAATCCTCGATTAGTGATGCGGCATAAACATGTACCAAAAAGGTTGCAAGTGCACAACCGTGTTAAGTTTTAGTATTTAAGATATTGATCCCACGAGGAAGGTGTTTTGTAGGAGAAAATATGAAATCGGTTCTTATGTTGTGTGCGTGACAAATATGAGTGATGAGTGAATGTGATTGTGAAGAGATTGAGAGAATGAAAATGGTGTGTGAATAGGTGCAAAGTGTAAGTGAGAGTGAGTATGATCAATAAGGTGAGAAGGAAAAATGAATAAAATCAAGAAACAAAAATAAAAAAAAATCAAGAATGAAGAATAAAATTCAAGAATAAAAGAAAATGCAAATGCAAGAAATTAAAGATGGTGGATTCAATTATAGATATGGATAATCTAAAATTGAACTCACTTCTTAGAAAAGGGTGATTCCCTAGAGGGTTCTAGCCTAAAAGTGAATCAAACAAAAAAAAAAAAAAACAAAAAATATTTAACAAGAAAATAAAATCTAACTACAAGCATAGAAATAAATCTAAACTAATAAGCAATAAAAGAGAAAAAGAAAAGAAATGCAAACCTTCAAATAATTCTCCATCTTCATCTTCATCTTCATCATCCAACAAAGAGAAGAAGAGAAAAATTTAAAGTGGTGAAAAAATTATTATTATTAATTGCAACAAAAGTTACAATTTTAGAAGGCCTTCTCAATTAAGAGTAGCCCTCCTCTTCAAAAGGAGTTACAAAAATTTTCACCCCCTAACCCCTCACTCTCTACCCCTATTTATAATAATCTTTAATGAATATGAGCCATTGGATTTGTCTTGAGCCCCAAGCAACAATCTCCACCTTTGAATTTGCTTGTGAAGAGATGGGTTGGATTTGTCATGGACTTCATTGTTGAGTGTTTGCTTTTTATTTTATTTTCTTTTGGCCCATTTGATTCATTTGAATTTCCAAAACATAAAATGAAGAGCAGCAAGTCCAAATTGAAGAGCTGCAACCCAAGTCTCCAATTGATTTTCCAAAAGAAAATCAAGTCCGGTCCAAGTCCAATTGCATTTATTTGAAATCTTGGAGCAAGTGCAATCTTGGCCCATTCATATCACAAGTTCGGTCTTCATTTGAGTAGAAATTAAGTCCGGTCATTTTGGACTTCATTTTGGACTTCATATCACAAGTTTGCAGCAATCACAAAAGAAACCGACCCAAGTGGAATGAACATCAAATAATTCCGGTCTTTGAGTTGTGCCTGGTCCATTGAAAAAAAACATCAACTGCAGGAGTTTGGCCCATAGCATTTTTTGTGATTAACATTCAAAAGTGCAGCAACCAAACTCTATCCATATGTCCGGTCCAGATTCATTTGATGAAATTCCAAATTCCAAGCAAGTCTCAGCCCACTAATTCATTTTCGGCCCAAATGAAGATTTCATTTGAAGAACCGGTCCACATGATTCCCAACTCCAAAGTCCATTGAATTTGATTAAATTATTAGCTCATGTCCGGTCCCCTTTCATTGCATGTGATCTCCATTTCGTAATCTTTTGCATAAAAGCCCAATTCATTTCACTCTTTGCATTCAAGTCCATTCCAATTCTTTGGGCCTTTTAAAATTCAATTATTTAAATTTCTCTTATTTCTTTATTACTCAAGGGCCTTTGTTGAGAGATGGGATTTTTGGGATTTATTCTTCATTAACGTGTAATTAAAAATAAAAGCAATTATTAGTGGTATATTTATTCATATAAAATAGATAATGAGGGTATAAAATTATAATAAAATGTGATTATCAATTAGACATGAATCATAAGCACGCCTACACCTCTTTCATATATCGTGGCTTCGTACGACATTTATGGGAGATAAACCAGCTGATGCTACGGCTGTGACGCTTCAGTATCACGCTCGTGCTTATATATTACACATGATAGGGTGCATGCTATTTCCTGATGCGAGCAAAAATCTTATACATGCACGATGACTACCACTGCTAGAGGATTTTGGTGTATGCGGCAGTCTATCATGGGGTAGTGCGGTGTTGGCGTACCTGTATAGAGAACTAGGTAGGGTCTCCTTGATGCAGAATAAAGAATTCAAGGGATGTATGACATTAATACAGATTTGGTCATGGGAACACATCCATATTAGACGACTTACTTTGCTTATGCACCGCGATCTACAGGGCCAGTTTTCTTTGGCATAGAGGTATAATTATGCATAAATTTTATTCATATTGAATTTGTACTCATATATTCTTTACTCCAAATAGGTATAATGTGAGGTACGCTAAGTATAAAACAGCGATGTGAAATATAGAGTTTTACCGAAATGAGCTTGATGGCCTCCAACACCAACAGGTAAATATAAAACTCAATTCATCATGAATATTTTAATTTTGTTGTAGATACTGATAATTTTTTAAAAAAAATTCAGTTCAAGTGGACACCCTATTCTTCCCCAGATCTCGATATGTATACTCTTACACCTATTTGTCGAGATAGCGCTGCTTTGTGGAGAGCCAAAGTCTTATTGATATGTTGGGAGATTGTGGAGATGCATGTCCAAGATCGTGTGTTATAATAATTTCTGCTCTCTCAACATGTGCCAGATTCTGTTGAGCAAATTGATCTTAGGCGACGGATGATATCGCATCGTACGGACTGGATCATATCCCTTACTGCCTACATAGACAGGTGAATTAATAGGTGGGATTTCATACAAGATGAGAGAGTTACAACTGTTGTTTATACCACGTATATGCATTGGTATTGGGATATCACACGCA